TCTGCGTGTGGGGATGGCGCTGGTCGTGCACGCTATGTCAGGTGCCCTCCGGCCGGGAGACGCTGCAAGACGGCAGGCGCCGGCCCGCCACCGGCGGCACGCGTGCCGTCCACTGTCCGTGGCTGGTGCCGGGGGCTGCCAGATCCGCATGCTGTCAACGCTGGTGCCGGGGCGCTGCCAGATCCGCCTGCTGTCAAGGCTGGTGCTGGGGCGCTGCCAGATCCGCCTACTGTCAAGGCTGGTGCTGGGGCGCTGGTAGATCCGCCTGCCGTCAAGGCTGGTGCTAGTGCGCTGCCGGGTCCGCCTGCTGTCAAGGCTGGTGCTGGGACGCTGCCAGATCCGCCTGCTGTCAAGGCTGGTGCTGGGGCGCCGACTGCTGTCAGGTCCTCGTCCGTTTACAGCTGTAGGAAAGGCTGTATGCTCCCATGTCCCCAGCTATCTGCGCAGGTGGTGCCGGGTGTCGTGCGACCAAATCTGACCGTCGGTGTTAACTAGCACCGAAGCGTCCATAGCTGGTGTTAGGGTTGGTGTTGATATATCGATAGTATCAATACCGTCTGTGCTTCACATCCATATGTGGGAAACACATACTCTATTGGTTAATGGGCACTAGAGTCGATAGCGGATGCTGTTGCCATGGCCGAGACCAGAAATCATGCGCAGGTTACCTCAAACATGCAGAACGCCAAGCTGTAAAAATGGCGTCAACGTGCACCGAAATACAAAAGCATAGCTTAACTGGCGAAGAACTATCATGTGCCCAGTACACAGATATTAAGAATAAGAGCACAGGAGGGAGGCCAGCGTGACACGCGTGTCCCTCGCAGAGTAGCGCCGCTCACCGCCGTCGTGAGGCGGCGCGGATAATGTACAGCATATGCCGTGTTGAGGAGAGTCAAGGATTGACGGCGGCTGGGATTTGGCAAGGCTGGGTGATTCAGTGTGGGTTCAGTGTCAAGGCCTTTCACAGTGTGGCGATAGCACACAGCTGTCGTGATGACGTGGAGGAAGTCTGTTCGTTTTTTTTCCAAGCGCGAGGTTCTGAGACCTGACTGTCAGTGGTATTGCCCCTCCCCCCCCCGCCCCTCTCCCACCTGTCTGTGTCGCTGCACGTTCACTAGTCGGCGCGGGCACGTACTAGTGTAGTACGAACACTAGTCGGCGCGGGCGGGTACTAGCGTAGTGCGTACACTGGTCGGCGCGGGCGCGTACTAGCGTGGTACGAACACTAGTCGGCGAGGGCGCGTACTAGCGTAGTACGTACACTGGCCAGTGCGGGCGCGTACTAGCGTAGTACGTACACTAGTCGGCGCGGGCGGGTACTAGTGTAGTACGTACACTGGTCAGCGCTGGCGCGGGTCGTCATGCTGGGGAGGCGGGGACCGACTCTGCAGACCGCGCGATGCTGTCTGAGTCGCTCGGAGGCCCAGAGCTCCCCGCTCATCCAGTGATGCCAAGGAACTCCCCGCTCGCCCGGTGATGCCGGCGAGCTGGCGCTCGTCTAGTGATGCCGGGGAGTTGGTGATCTTCCAGTGATGTCGGGGAGCTGCCGCTCCTTGGGTGACGCCGGGTAGCCGCCGTGGAATATAGATTGCGCTCGATCAGAAGAGACAGCTGAGTTTGCTGAACCCTCGCCGAGACGGCCGAGAAGCCTGCTGCGAATGTCCGGGGCTTCTGCAGCCGCTGCATGGCTTCGCTTGCGGGTGGTCGTGACCTAGCTGGCGCCGACCGGCACGCGCAGGGCCAGGGTCGTGGCGCCGCGGCGGGCTGCTTCCTTCGGCGCCGGGCAGCGGTCCCAGGAGGGTCGGCGCACGGGCCTTATCTCCGTGCATCGTCATGTCTCGCTGCTCGACCCGCGATAGCTTAAGGAACGAAACGTGCTGTCTCCGCAGTGAAGTCATCCGTGATTGGAGGGAGGCTCATCGTTGCGTCCAAATAGCAGATCGACACGTATGAGGCCCCTCCTTTTGACAAGGTGCGCTGGCAAACGCAGCGATCTACCCCGCTCTGTATGCCTTTAGACGGTATTTTCCTCCTTTCCAGCCGAGCATCCTTCCTAAGGAGTGACTTAGGGCTTGGCTGGTAATGGGAGCGAGACGAGGAGGACGCGGCAAGTGCTGCTTTCCGTAACTGGATGCCGTTGTCGCCGTGTGGGACCCGCGGGCGTTCCAATCCGTGATGGCGGGTGACATGGTCATCGGTCACGGGTCAAGCCGCCACACGAATGCTGATGGTGTCAGCGTGTCATTGACTGCCGATGGCTTTTCGGGTTTGGTAGATATTCGAGACGCATGCACTTATGACACGCATATGTAGAGATGAACACATCTTCCTGACTCGAACTCGCCGTGCTTGAACCATGCAACTGTCTAGCAGTGTGCTCTCAACGTGCAAAATTCGAGTCGTGCGCAAAATCACGCGCGAACAGAAGCGGAACCTTACCAGCATCGCTGGGAGGAGAAGGATTGTAGGTAGCATAGTATATGTAGGACATCGTGATTGTAGGTAAATTCGGCGCCGCACGGACAGCACACATACGCATCAGGTAGCATGCGAAGCGCTGCCAATGCTCTTGGATTGCACCAAGCGAGCTTGAAGCATTCATAGGTACAACAATTTAAGGATGGAAAAGAGTGCAGCTTTATCTTACTTCATGGCGTTTCTACGAAACAAAATTGTTGTGGTGCTTTGATGTGCGTTTTGTACGTAAATTTCCTACAGGACCCTCACGGGAACTAACGGGGTATCGGTCAAGGTTCACTGGCTGAACAGCGACTACGTTATATAAATGTGCGAGAGCAAGCGGGGGACCTAACAGAGCCCGCGCGAGACACGACAGAACCAGCGCGGGACACGGCAGAACCAGCGCGGGACACGGCAGAACCAGCGCGGGACATGACAGAACCAGCGAGGGACTCGACAGAGCCAGCGCGGGGCACGGCAGAACCAGCGCGGGACACGACAGAGCCAGCGCGGGACACGACAGAACCAGCGCGGGACACGACAGAACTAGCGTGGGACATGGCAGAACCAGCGCGGGACTCGACAGAGCCAGCGCGGGGCTCGACAGAGCCAGCGCGGGACACGGCATAGCCAGCGCGGGACACGACAGGACCAGCGCGGGACTCGACAGAACCAGCGCGGGACATGGCAGAACCAGCGCGGGACACGACAGAACTAGCGTGGGACATGGCAGAACCAGCGCGGGACACGACAGAACTAGCGTGGGACATGGCAGAACCAGCGCGGGACTCGACAGAGCCAGCGCGGGGCTCGACAGAGCCAGCGCGGGACACGGCATAGCCAGCGCGGGACACGACAGAACCAGCGCGGGACTCGACAGAACCAGCGCGGGACATGGCAGAACCAGCGCGGGACACGACAGAACCAGCGCGGGACATGGCAGAACCAGCGCGGGACACGACAGAACTAGCGTGGGACATGGCAGAACCAGCGCGGGACTCGACAGAGCCAGCGCGGGACTCGACAGAGCCAGCGCGGGACACGGCACGGTCGCGGGAATGTGTCCCAGCCGCCGCTGACTGGCGGCCGGGCCACATACCGCGGCGGGCGTGGTGTTGGTCACTGTCCCACTGACCTGCCGCCGTTTTGGGGTCCTGCACGGCTGTCTCCTGCCACGGCTCAGACGTCTGCCGCCGGCTGTCACGTAATGGGATCAGCGAGCGCCTCGGCGGCGGCCGGCGGGCCGCGGCCAATCCGGCCGCCTGGGCGTCAGCCGGTGTCGCGCTGTCGGGGAGGGGGGGGGGGGGGGGGGGGCACACGGGCTGCGGCGACCGACTCCGCGAGCTGGGCGCCATGTCACGGCGGCGACCAGCGGCCCACAGCAACGGCTGTCAACCGCAGGCCGGCTGCGGCGCGCGGAACATTAACAATGTTCGGCACATTTACTGCCATCAGCCATGTAACGCTGCCGGCTGCGCCTGCCTGCCGCCTGGGTTTTGGTTATTGTCGTGCTTTGGAAATGGCGGAGATCCGAAGCGACGTCTCTCAAACATTGCGCGCCATAACATGCATTGCCAAATCGGATGCAGTTACATCAGATATTCTGCCGAAGAACAACAACCTTAGCAAAGCTCTAGTCCTGGAATGCTTTGACTGCCCACGACTGCGGCATGCATACATAGTCACACGAGACAGGCTTAAGAAATACGTCATCGTCATTATCATCACGTACACGATCATGTATCGGCATCGTCAAGATATAGAATGAGATGCTTGTGCACCGCCAGAAGCATTTTAAGTGTGTGCGTGGGCGGGCGGGGAGGGGGGCACCAAGGGCACACGCTGTACCCCCGTCACCCAATTGGTATAAATGTTGGTATGCATGTGAACGAATTTCGAGCCTAAAAAATCGAGGAAGGTACGTGAAAATAGAAAGTTGCATCACATACCATGCTCTTATAAGGCATGCGAGAAATATCGCGCAATGCATGTGCGGCGTGTTACGATGGGATTGTCAGCGAAAATCCGTACGTCGTTCTTCCCGTTAATGCTGCATATGACCCTGGACACCACGATTCCGGCACAGGGACGTTACGACGGTAACGCGCCCTTTAAACCTGATGCTTTGTCGACCAGGATATGCGGGACTGAAGGCTTACCGCCGGAAATTGCTAGGGCTTCCTTTTAGTCGGTAATGTCAGTTTCTTTGTGCTGCTGATGCCAAATTCGTGTGAGGGTGTAGTGTTGTAACACTCGCTCAACACTCTGCAATCCAGTTACCCAAGACGCCGCACCCACCTGCGCCCCCCGCCCCCGCCCCGGTCTGACCGTGCCGTGAGCTGGGTCGGTGCCGCCGGCGCCGTCGGCCGGCGTCGTCGCGGCTGTCGGCGGCCGCGATGCGTCACCGCCTGGCCAGCTGGCAGCAGCAGCTGTCCGCCGGCCGGCTGCTGACCGGCGCGCAGTTCACTCCCCCGCCGCCAGTCGGCTCTGTCGTCGCCGGCCTCGACAGCGGCCGCACGACATACGGCCGGCGCCGGCGGCGGAGTGCGGTCGCGTGGGGGCGGTTAGGTGGGATCTGACGTCCGCCACCGTATGCGGTGCCGTCGACACCCGTGCGTAACTTCTGTGTCTTAGTGTGCGCCGGAGGGCCTCGTACTCGGTGTCAGCCAGCGGCGGCGAGGACTGAACACGCGCGGTGGTGCTGGTTTGGTGCTGACACACAGGCAACGTGTCGAGCACCACGCGCCTGAGGCGGCATCAGCCGTGATGTGACGTCCGAGTGGACGGTGTGTGGGAGGCTTGCCTGGTGGGAGCGGTAGCGGCCGCCGCCGCCAGCGCAGCCGCCATGTCGAGCGTCGCGCCCGACTCGCTCGAGCTGTGCTCCATGGACTTTTGGGACTACTTTGTGGAGCTGGAATGCCTGCAAAACTCGAAGGGAAAAGGTACGCCTGGTCGGTTACAACCCGCCGTGCTGTTCCCCGGGCCCACGCGTGCTAGGAGATTAGTTCAGCATGCTTGCGTGGTCGTGTCAAAATATTACATATTTACGCCAAGGCCGCCTCTAGGAAGAAGGGTTGGTCAGGGAAGGTTGGCTGAAGTTCTGAGGCGCCAAATACCTGAAACAATAGATCGTTGCTGTCTTCGGAAAGTGACAACAGAGCACTCTAGGTGTTGGTCTTCGTTGCCAGTGGCCCTATTCCATATCGTGATTACGTACAGAAGCACACCATGATTACATGCAGAAACATACCGCGATTACATACAAAAACATGTCGTGATTGCCTACAGAAACATGCCGTGATTACATACAGAAACATGCCGTGATTACATATAGAAACATACCGTGGTTACATACAGAAGCATATGTGGCGAATAGCGTGTCTTTATATTGTCCTCCTATCTCCTATTGTCTTTATATTGTTTATTGTAATCTCATGACGTCATGACCGGCCCTGAACTGTGTGCATGAACGGATGATGCCAACAATCGTGTTGTGACAAATTGCTGGGTTGATGATGTTGTGATCGATCAGAAATTTGTGTTTATTTTGGCGGAGGTGACTGCGGTGTGGTGCCTCGCTCGCTGCGTGGTACCCTCCGCCCTTGACCTTGCCTTGGACGGAATTACCGCCTCGCTTACACCCAAGCAAGTAGGTTGGTGCGGACTGATATGGCGTGCCTTCTAACGCGCTTATCTGATTCCGTGGCTGCAGATAATGTCTCGTTCAGTGTTGGCCATTTTTCCCTTTCGTAGGGCCATGGGAGGTAGATTTCTGTCTCGTTTGTGCACCCGCATACGCACTGTTGCTTTCGTTTCCCATGCATCAGCCCGTAGCACAAGCCGATGCACTGAAATCTTCTTTTAACACATTTCGAATGCGAGCAAGGAATATCATACCGCTTCGTCCGGCGGCTGACAAAACTGTGTTGCGGCAGTTTTGTGGCGGCCGTGTCTCGGTGACCGGTGGGCTGTTGCGCCACGCTGCTGCAGCCGTCACTCGACCACCGACCAGCCAGTCGGCCGCCCGATGTTGCCGCCACGCCGGCCACCGGCACGCGGCTCCCATCCAACGCTCCGGGGGGGGGGGGGGGGGGGGGGCTGTGAGAGTGAAATCCTGTTGACGACATGGGGGCGGCGCGGGAGACAATGGGCGGCCGCAGCCGTCCCGCCTCACCTGCCGCCGGGCTCGATACGTCCGCTGATAGACACCCGAGGTCCAAGGTCTGAGTCGGCGCGGCCAGCCAGAGCCCCTGGGCGCCGCGTGACCTCCGCCGAGGATCGACCCAGGCCGACCAGCGGCCCGTTCGTCTTGGCTGTCAGCATCCCTCATTTCTTTCATGTTTTCGTTGGGAGTAACGAGAAGCATCTGTTGGCGGCTATTGCGATTCCGCTCTGGTGACAGGCCTGGTCTGCAGGGGTCAGCTGGCTCCCGCCGGAATGGTGACTAAACCTGTCGGCGCCCGCGTCCCTCCCCTCGGTCGACCGGGCGCCGCCTCGTTTTCGTGACGCTGGGGTCAGCCGTGACCGACCTCGGTCGCACTCGTGAGACGTCCGTGACCGGGCCAGCGGGCTCTTGACCCGCGGGTCAGCGTCCCATTGACCCGTCTACCCTCCCGCAAACCACGCCACGCCTCGCCTGCGCCTGGCGGCCTGCGGCTCCCAGCGCCGGCGGCCTTGGGCGCCCCGGAGCTCCGTGACGGCGCGCGGGGCCAGGGCGGCGCCGGTCGAAGCCAGTCCTCGCGACCCCGGAGCTCCGTGACGGCGCGCGGGGCCAGGGCGGCGCCGGCCGAAGCCAGTCCTCGCGGCTGATTGGGCCGACCGCACGGACACTTCGAGACTTCCGTGGCAGGTGTCTCTGTCCCCCCCCCCCTCCATATGCCCCAGGAAGTGTATCGTCACGGAGACCGCTTCGTATTGTCGACTTCTATTCAGGACGGAATTTTCTGCCTTTAAGCTGCCAGCGCATTAAACCTTCTGTATCGTCCAATCCCGTATGCGTTCAATGCAATACTACACATTGGATTGCCACGTGAGCTAAACGTTACTGAGGAGGCGTTACATCTGGAGGCTAGAGAGGTGATCTGATGCACAATCCGGGAAGCTTGATTCCCCATTTTCGCATGCAGAATTGCTCAAGCGTGTATGCTGCCATTTTCCACTACTTGGTCCAGCGGCGGCTTCGGCACGGCCTGTCCCGTTATCGGATTTCGCTAGCCAGTAGCGTAACGTCGTTCGTTGCGTCAATTCTCCGAGACGATTTTCCAATTACGACGCACCACATCTCGGTGTCGACACCAGTGCCAGCGGTCCCGCGTGTCACGCTCGGTTTTCTGTCTCCGGAACATCGCCCTGGTGGGTGTGCTCTAGCCCGCGCTGCAGGGGCTTCTGAGCGGCAGCCGCTGCCGGCGCGCGGTCTGTGGGGGTTGTCCGGGGGGCGCTGCTCTGGGCGGCAGCCGCTGCCGGCGCGCGGTCTGTGGGGATTGTCCGGGAGGCGCTGCTGTGGGCGGCAGCCGCTGCCGGCGCGCGGTCTGTGGGGGTTGTCCGGGGGGCGCTGCTCTGGGCGGCAACCGCTGCCGACGCGCGGTCCGTGGGACTTGTCCGGGGGGCGCTGCTCTGGGCGGCGGCCCCGTGACTGTACTGCCGGCTCCGCCTCCGCCTAGGCTCCCGACGCCGTCTTCTGAGCCGGGATGGCGGACGTCCGCTCCCGGACGGCACGGCCTCGGCGCTGGGACCAGCGGCCCGCTCCCGGGGGCTCCCATTCAGTCCCGACTTTTGAACTCCGGAGCCTGTTCGCGATGACCGTGCCAGCCCTTGGTTCCGGTCGCTGGGAATCTGATATGAACTTTGATCTTCTTGCTCCGGAACCGTGTAGTAGGTCTGGCTCTCCGCGAGAGCCTGACCTGCTCCTGAGCTCCGGCCGTGGGAGCCTGACCTGCCCCTGAGCTCCGGCCACGGGAGCCTGACCTGCCCCTGAGCTCCGGCCACGGGAGCCTGACCTGCCCCTGAGCTCCGGCCACGGGAGTCTGACCTGCTCCTGAGCTCCGGCCACGGGAGCTGGAGCCGTTCGCTCCGCGGCCGTGCCGTGCCGCTGGGCCGTCCGTCTGCCGACGGCGGCATGCGACGGGAGCGTGACTGGCAGCCGGCCTGCTTCTCAGCCACGCCGAGCCCGGCTGCAGGGCTCAGGCTGCAGCCGCAGCCCGGCCGCCGTGCTGCCGGCTCGCACGGGCGACACGCGGCCGCGGCGCCGGCGGCCCTCATTTCACGCCGCATCGGCGCCCAGGGCTGGCCGGCGGGCATCAAGCTCCCGTGCTGGTGGGAGGCGACCTCCAGCCACTGATGAAAGCTGCCGGCGCGACCAGCCAAGCTGCAAACTGCGCGGCAGCAGTGCACGAAATGGAAATGAAGCGCGGGAGGGGTGCGGGGAAGCGGCGGTGGAGGTGAGACCGAGCCGCCGGCGCGGGAGCCGAGTAATGCGAGCGGACATGTGCACTTCGTGCTTGTCCTCGCCGCCACCATCGCTCACAAGGCCACCGTTTGGCCTGCGGCGGCGCATTTGCACTATCTTTGCCCACGCTGTTTGGCTATTAGCGCCCTGGCTGCACGGACGCCATGTGAACGGACATCTGAACATCAGGCGGCCGCTGGCGGTCGACGCCAGCAGCGGGCGGCGAGAGGGGCGCCCTCCCTCGACCCTGTCCCACCACCCGCGCGCGGCGAGAGGGGTGCCCTCCCTCGACCCCATCCCACCACCCGCGGGCGGCCAGAGGGGTGTCTTCCCTCGGCCTCCGTCCCACCACCCATGGGCGGCGAGAGAGGCGCCGACTCTCAACCCCCGCCCCACCACTTACGTGGGAAGTTTATTGGGCGAAATGTGACATATGCGATGCCTAGGGAGAAAAAGTGGATTGATATGCTGGGAACTTCACACATTAAAGAGGGCTCAACGTTAGCACCCAATGATAATCTACAAAAGGTGTTTAAGAAATGTCCAGGCGGTGCTTTTCGACAACCAATGCATACGCGTCGATTACTAATTTTACGATAGCGCGTGGAAGGAACGGGTTGTCCAGACTGAGGTAGGTTCAAATGAAACTGAAACGCCTTATGGCAGAATGTTGGTTTTTTATGGCAGAATGTTGTTATGGCAGAATGTTATATATATATATATATATATATATATATATATATATATATATATGTATATATGATTTGCTTATAAGTCCTTGCAGATGATCCATCGTCTGTAGATGATGAGCGGCGCTCCCATTCCCCGACCGAGGCCAGGAGTTGGTCCAGTCGGGGTATGCGCATGTGTTTGACGGTAGCCGTGTCTACTGCTGGGCGGCACCGCGGCCATCCCGGAGGGGCAATGCGCAGGTCAGGGGCTCATAGCATATTTAAGGCCAGAGCTTGAAGGCTTTTGAGAATAACAACAGAGCAAAACAAATGTACACTTTTCATTTTTCCGGCATGTTGAAAGAACGTAAACGCAATCTGTTATGGAAGCGCATCATTTTTGTCCGGGGTTTTTCGCGTTCTATTTCATGATGCTAGCGGTTAATGTGGCCCGGGATTGCCGTGGACTGATGGGGATGTCGACACCACCACTCACAGTGGCGGCTGTGCTGTAACCATGCGGCCAGCCCTGCGCGACGCGAGGCGTCGTCTGCCATTCTGATGCCCGCGTTGAAAGTTGGTGAGAGATACGCGGGGCTGTGCTGGCGGCGGTGCCGTCCGTCTGACGGCCGCTGCCCTCTCTCTCTCTCTCTCTCTCTCTCTGTAGATGTGCGGGGCTGTGCTGGCGGCGGTGCCGTCCGTCTGACGGCCGCTGCCCTCCCTGTCTGTAGATGTGCGGGGCTGTGCTGGCGGCGGTGCCATCTGTCTGACGGACGCTGCCCCCCTGGCTGTAGATGTACGGGGCTGTCCGTCTGACGGACGCTGCCCCTGTCTGTAAACGTGCGGGCTGTGCTGGCGGCGGCGCCGTCCTTGACGGAGCTGCCCTCCCTGTCTGTAGATGTGCGGGGCTGTGCTGGCGGCGGTGCCATCTGTCTGACGGACGCTGCCCCCCTGGCTGTAGATGTACGGGGCTGTCCGTCTGACGGACGCTGCCCCCTGTCTGTAAACGTGCGGGGCTGTGCTGGCGGCGGCGCCGTCCGTCTGACGGACGCTGCCCTCCCTGTCTGTAGATGTGCGGGGCTGTGCTGGCGGCGGTGCCGTCCGTCTGACGGCCGCTGCCCTCTCTCTGTAGATGTGCGGTGCCGTCCGTCTGGCGGACCCTGCCCTCCCTGTCTGTAGATGTGCGGCGCCGTCCGTCTGACGGACGCTGCCCTCCCTGTCTGTAGATGTGCGGGGCTGTGCTGGCGGGGGTGCCGTCCGTCTGACGGCCGCTGGCCTCTCTGTAGATGTGCGGTGCCGTCCGTCTGGCGGACCCTGCCCTCCCTGTCTGTAGATGTGCGGTGCCGTCCGTCTGACGGACGCTGCCCTCTCTGTCCGCAGACCTGCAGCTAGCTGCCGAGCTCGGCAAGACGCTGCTGGAGAGAAACAAGGAGCTGGAGACGGGACTCAAGCAGCAGCAGACAGTCATCGACGACCAGGGCCAGGAGATCGAGGTACTGTACCGTACCGTACCGGACCCGGCGGGTACATGTGTGCCGGGCAGGATGCCGCGGGACCGTGACGTACGGGCCTGTTGGAGCTATGAGACCGCGCGGCCGGTGCGCCCGAAAGTCCCACGACTGTGTTGAAACGCTGCATAGACCTCATATCCTTACTCTGCAGCACTCTGAACAAAACATTTAAGTGTCTGTCCTGTATCGTTGAGTGTTGTGCAGAATTTGATGCGTTTAAGGCACTATATACTAATGTTTCATTAGGTCTAGCATAATTGGTCGTGTCGAAATACCTCACCTTACACAGCCAAGAGACCGAAGTGTATTATAACCGCGCAAAGGCGGGAGATGTATGCATATTGTAACGCTTCAGAGGTGGGAGACCAGGTGCTTTGTGTGTCAGAGCGAGGGCGCCTTGCGAGACGTGACATTGTAAGCGTTATAGACGCTATCGCCTGAGTCGTTGGTATCTGCGGGGTGTCTCGGTATCACGTGTGGTCCGGGTGGCACACCGTCAGGAGGTTACGCACTCCCCCGAGCGGCGGGCCCGCTGGGTGGAATGGGCCGGGCACATCCGGGTGCCCCGTGCCGGCGTCGCTGGCAGTTTCCCGCTCCGTGTCACATGCTTCTCGTTCATCGCGCGCGCGCGCGGGAAAATCTGCGGCGGCGGTCTCAGGGCTGCCGGCGGCGGCGAGGCCGCGCCGGCGCGGCGGGCCGCAAGGCCGGCTCGGCGCCCGGTGCGGGAGTGTCCGTCGCGTCCGTCGAGTCGCAAGGCCGCCCGGCGTGCGGTGCGGGAGTCTCTGTCGCGTCCGTCGGCAGGCGCTCCGAATCTGTCAGCTGGACGTCGCTGTGACGTCACTGTGGCACCGCAACGGCGCGGCTTCAGTCGCTCCGTCTTCGCCTGTCACCCGCCAGCTGACGATGTGTTGTGTGGTTCGCGCCGGCCGTTACTGGCCAGTCTGTCACCGGCGGCGAGCCCGACGCTCGGCCACAGTTCACCATCGTGGGGACGCTGTTGTCCGCCTTCAGCCGGACTCGCGGGGCGGTTTTCCACCGTCTGGCGTCCTTGGCTGACCCGTTGGATGTAGGAACACTTGTGAAGTATTTGAAGCAACCTCCTTTGCTGCGACTAGTAAAGAGTCGGTGGGAAGAGGGGACTAGTGAGAGAGGAATAGAAGAGTGAGGCAAAACCGGAGAGAGGCGGACCCGTACGGAGGAGTGAGAGAGAGAGAGAGGGGAGAAAGAGGGTCAGGAGGGGGTGAGACGGAGCGTGAACGTGAGTTCGAGGCATGCACACTACCACGTGGGTTCGATTTCACCTAAGGTGACGTATTTTCCCGACAAAGAGAGCAAGCTTTCACGAGGGCGACGACCAGCATGTCATGATCCCCAATACGCCCCATTTAGCTAACAGGATGGGGTAAAATTGTCCCATGTTACGCTTCGTAAAGTAGTTTACTCACTGCGGCAGTGCTGACAGCCAATTAGGGCTCTCGTAACATATGTATGTTCTCCAGTCGTTTGTTTTCCTAGCAGCCGCGCCAAAATTCGTCCTTGGAGCGCATGCCTGCCTGCATGGTTGGAGCAAGGCTGAGCAGTTGTCGTGTTGTTATCTTTTAAATATTTTCCAGATCTCTAATGTCTAAATGAGTCAATTTTTAAACAGAATGCCCATGCTTAGGTAGCTTTACTTCCCTGTACTTTGACGGGACAGTCGGTCATTCTTTTTCGATTTCCCTGTACTTTGGCGGGACAGTCGGCCATCCTTTTTTCGACTTCCTCTACTTTGACGGAATAGTCGGTCATTCTTTTTTCGCGTCCTATGCACACTGCTGCGACCCGGCCTGGTGCTGGGCCGACTCCCTGGGCAGTCTCCAGCTGCCCTTCCGCATTGTCGGGCCTTGGCAAACCAGCACGATGCGTGCTGGTCCAGCTGGGTGCCGCACACATTCTGAAACTTGCAACCTACGTCCTCAGTATTATGGGCCCGGCATATCACCCGTCAACCAGGGCTTTGACTTCAGTAACTTCTGTCGGCTGGTTAGAACAACCTCCCGTCAGTTTAACATTCACATCAGTGTGCACAGCTCACGGAATGAAGAATTTACTGCTGTTAACAGTTGGGCGCAGCTGAGCCTGGTTAAAATGCCTGCCGGGAAGTGCAGCACGTATGGAGGTGCCCGGCACGTGTGCGGACGCTTCGTTGGCCGAGCTGGATGCGCCGGAGCGGCTGGGTGGGCGGGGCCGACACCCGGTGACGCATCCCCTGACGTGGCTGCGCTGTCTGTGTGTCCTCAGTACCTGAGCAAACAGTCGACTGCGCTGCGAGAGGTCAATGACTCACGTCTGCGGGTGTATGAGCAGCTGGAGGTCAGCATACAGGAGCTGGAGGTCACCAACCAGCGACTGCAGGACGAACTCAGCCAGGACAAGAAGCGTATCCGCAGGTGAGCCCCCCCCCCCCCCCTTCCGTTCCCGTCTCGCCCGGCCCAGGGTGTCGTCGAGTATGTCTTTTCACCTCCGTCACACACGATACAAATCATTTTCGTGGCTCAAAGAACAAACAGAAGGGACAGAAAGGCTGAAGGTCAGACAAGTGAGCATGTCTCGTGCCCGATGGTCTGCCTACCGTAAATGCTGGCGGGGGAGCCATGCGCCAGCTGACCTTTGACACGGCGGCCCACGCCAGCCCAGCCGACCCGTCGGCGGCTTCCGTGCCCACCTGACACGTGACGTGGAGGCGGGCCCGACTGAGGGACGGGTCATAACCTCACCCAGCAGGACACCGCCGGGACAGACCAACTGACAACCGCACCCAGCAGGACACCACTGGGACAGGCCAACTGATAACCGCGCCCAGCAGGACACCACTGGGACGGGCCAACTGATAACCGCACCCAGCAGGACACCACTGGGACAGGCCAACTGATAACCGCACCCAGCAGGACACCACTGGGACAGGCCAACTGATAACCGCGCCCAGCAGGACACCACTGGGACGGGCCAACTGATAACCGCACACAGCAGGTCACCGCCGGGACAGACCAACTGATAACCGCACCCAGCAGGACACCACTGGGACAGGCCAACTGATAACCGCACCCAGCAGGACACCACTGGGACAGGCCAACTGATAACCGCGCCCAGCAGGACACCACTGGGAGCATACCACTGGACAGGCAACTAACCGCACCAGGACACCGCCGGGACAGACCAGCTGATAACTGCACCCAGCAGGTCACCGCCGGGACAGACCGATTGCTCATAACGTCCTGCTGAGCGTTTTTAGTCTTGAGTATTGGTCAGACGCCACGTCATCAGACACGTATTCCAGCATGCTTGTTATCAGCGGAAGTGGGCGGCCCTGCTGACATCGCTGACACATTGTACAGGAGATCCAGGCGTGGTCTAGCGTGTAGCACCCAGCGTCTGGTGTTGGGCTCGATATGGGTATCCGGGGTCCCACGACGCTGCTTGGAATGACCTCGCAAACTTACTCTCCTTCATGAATAGTGCCTGGCAGCATGACCACTTAGAAACATCCTCTGACGCCATGTTTTCTAAACTATGCCCTGAATAGCTCGTCGGTCCGGGGGCCCACGCCCCTGTGCCCCCAGCTCATGGCAGCCTCCTTGTTCTGTGCCAGCTGCCAACGGCGTATGCACAAAGCGCCGGCTTGTGGTCAGCTCCCAGTTTCGGTGTCGCCGCGTAAAGGTCAGGTGACGCACTAGCAGCCGCAGCCGGTAGTCACCGCAGACAAATGTCAGGCACGGTATTACTCATTGTTTTTTTAATGTTTTTCGTTACCCATTATTCTGATAGCAATGTCGTGTCTTAAACCGAGCTGGCGAAAGCGCAGTGCCGAATGGAATGGAATGGAATGGAATGGAATAAATTAAATGGAATGGAAACTCTCGGCCAGAAATTTCAACGTCCCAAACACTTTGCTGCACAAAATCACGTTTCGCTCAACTCTTGGCACAACAGGGCCCAGTCACATTGAGCAGATTATGTCGCCTAGTGACGGGGCCCAGTCTCGAGGGAGAAGCCCGTAGTGCCGTGATGACGCATCACGCTGGTTACTGGCTTTCTGTCTGGAGTCATCTATGGCGAAAAAATGTCAAAAGAAATCGGATCCTGAGAAGCCGCCTCTAGCTTGGCTGTTCCTTGCTGGCAACACCAATCTGAGATGTGAGCGAGGTCAGTTATTTTCAACCCCATTACAAAGTAGCGCCATGCCGCTCCACAAGCTGGTCATGCCTAGCAACAGCTCCAACAACATCCCAGGTAGACCCCACGCCACGGCGTGAGCCTCTTTGCGGTGTGAACGGGGCTTGAAAACACACTGGCTCCAAATATTTGGCTTTACCCGTCCGTTTGCTACCAAAAGCTGAGCCGCCGCCACCTTGCCCAGACAGCTCGCAGCGTTCCAGCGGGCGTTTTTGTGTAGTTTGATGAGGTCAACACTGGCGCCGCCACCAGTTTACCGGTTGTGTAAACAGCAGAGCCAGCCGGCTGAAGCTGGGCTGCCGGCCGGCTGAAGCTGGGCTGCACCCTGCCCCGGGGCGACCATGCCGGTGCCGCGACACAGGCTAGCGAAGCCGGCGCCGGCGTGCCGGGGCAGAGACTCGGGGCAAGCTGACCAGTGCATAGCATGAAGACGCCGGGCTCGGTGTCATTGCGATCCACTGCGGTCAGCGGCGTGTTCGCCTCGCTCTCTCCTGCTTACGGAGGCGTCCACATCTCCAGCATTCTGCGGCAGCTGACCCGGTAGCCGGATCAGCCGTGTGATAGGGCACTGTCGGATGGTGCTGGTCCGGTGACCGGGTCAGGCGTGTGAGAGGTCACTGTCGGATGGTGCTGGTCCGGTGGCCGGGTCAGCCGTATAAGAGGTCACTGTCGGATGGTGCTGGTCCGGTGACCGGGTCAGGCGTGTGAGAGGTCACTGTCGGATGGTGCTGGTCCGGGTCAGCCGTATTGCATGGCATGGAGAGACAGTACTGGACACACGAAACAGATTAAACCGTCTTACACCGTCTCCACCGCGAGACTTCCAGCTGTCCGCTGTCCGCGAAGCAGCTGCCGGTGTTTGTCGGCTGTCCGGCCGTGTCGTGCGCCCCGCCGTGTCGCCAGTGTGCAGAGCCCGTCCGTCCGAACTGCGGCAGTGTGCCGGGCTCTACCGCATCAGAGCGCTCGACCGGCCCTGGGAACTGGTCCTCGGCCCTCTGGCGAGCCGCCAAAGGTCACGTCTCCGGCGCTACCGGCGTGGGAACAGGGTGGCGGCGCCGTGCCCAGCCCAGCCATGCGCTCCGACACCGGAGGTGGCGGACTTCCGCCATGCCTAACGGAGGTGACCAGGTCGGCCGGAGGCTGCCCGTCGGGTCACGGAGCTGACCGGGTCGGCCGTTGGCTGTCTGTCGGGTCACGGGGCTGACGGCACGCGGACGACCAGCGGCGCTCGTCGGCTGCGCCCGCTGTCGGGTGTTCTTGCTGAACTACAAGAAGCCTCGCTCGATGATGGCATCTTTTCCAGGTGGACAGATGGGTTTCAGTACACACGAGTCGGTGGAGCGTCCGGCGTTATAGTTTGAGGAGCATATGCGCTTCCCGGAGCCCGTTTCAGTCTGCTAGTCGGTGAAATGTTTCCGATGTCGGCGGTCCCTGACTGCTCCGACCGTGTTTCAGTCTGTGCCAGTCGGTGGAATGTCTGGAGGCGCGTGCCTCGGAGCTGCAGGGCCTGGTGGACGAACTCCGCGCCGCCGAACGGACCAGGCGGGCAGCCTGCCTGGCGGAGCAGCAGCGGACGCCGCCGGCCAGGCGCGACAGCCAAAGTCAGGTAGGGCGACATCTCTCGGCCGTCGTGTCACCTACGCCTTCAGCGGTCGCCCACCCGAGGCGCCCGGTTTGTGAGCGGCGTAGTGTGCTCCAGAGTCAATGCTAGCGTAAACCTCGTTGCACGGTTTGGGTTCATGTCCAACGAAACCCCAAGACACGCGAAAAAGTGGCTGTTAGCTGATCTTGATCAGTGTGTCATTTCGCTTTCCGTCGGGCAACAGCTGGCAACAGTTGCAGTGCGCACTTCGCACTGAAGTGCTGTGGACGGCCTGCTCCACGCTGGGGTGCTGTGGATGAGGCGTGACCGGCGGCCCGCTCCTCTCCAGAGTCGCGCCGACGAGCTGGTGGAGCGCGTCGCTCTGTTGGAGCGCCAGATGAGCGAGTGCCGTGACCGGGAGCGCGTGGAGCGCGAGCGCCGCCAGTGCGCGGAGGCTGAGCTCGCCGCCTCGCACGAGGTAAGGACGCAGCCGCACAGCACAGCACGCTGGCGCCCGCCGCTGTGGCGTGAGGGCCTTACGACAGCTGCCGCCGCTGGCATAGCGTGTGAGTCAGATGTTTATTTGATCTTCCCTGATTAGGCGGCGCGTCATCTCCTCGGCATTGAGAGAGGACCGTCCGGTTGCCAGGCGATACGGCGTCCTGGCACGTGCCGTGCCGTGCCGTGCCGTGTCGTGTCGTGCCGCGCCGTGTGCCGTGTGCCGTGCCGTGCCGTGCCCAGACCCGCAGGCGACGTGAGCCACGCCTGGCCCAGGCGTGTGAGGGTCGTACCCACAACTGCGGTAACCATGATCGTGTCCTGTCTACATCCCTTGCCGTCCGTCTTCAGCCCGCTGTCGCCGTGGCTCGTGTCCAGACTAGTCGCTGCTCCACCGCCTGCTTGATGCATGCTATGTATTATATAGTCGTTGGAGCAGTGGGTGATGGTACGTTTTAATAGATGACTAATTCCGGGATCTGTTATGTGCAACCAGAAGAGGATCTCACCCTGTATTTTCATCTTCTGCTAGTGATGAGCTGGTGATGATAATGCCGATACGAGAATGCCTTTCGGAAGTCAGCAATGGCGGTCTTTGTGGCAATGTTCTATTCACTGTGGTTGCGTCTAACTGCGGCCCTCCGTATCTTTGTCCAGGAGTGTTCAGAGCTTCGTCAAGAGATGGCAGCACTACGGGAGCGCAGTGTCAAGCTGCACACGCTGGCAGAAGAGGTGCACGCCTTGGAGGAACAGAGGTGTGACCAACTACCTGTTGGGATTCGTAACGCTCTTTTAGTACCCAATCTTCGTCTGTAGCTTGCTTTTTTGTTGGGGCCGCTTTTCACTCATGCCAACTGTCAGAGCTAAATTTCTCTGTAAGGATGAGGCGGCTTGCGAGAACCTCTGTTTGCTGTGAAATGCAGCGGCAAATTAAACGATGGCGTGACCACGACCTCGAGTCACTGAATGGCATCATGCGCGTAGTAAACACAAAAGGGGCAGGGGTGTGGTGCGATTCCGATTTGTGCCGTTACACCCTAATGAGATAATGCGATGCGGCAAGGAAAAATTGCTTAGTTCAAATATGTGTTGTCCTGAGAGCTTCCGTGGTCATTATCGCTGCATACACTGTAGTCGATTGTTGGGACAGATGTAAAGCAATGCGTCATGATACAGCGGCGAGGCGAGCGACGCCGGCCGCCGAGGAGCCAGCTGCGCCGTCCCACGGCGCGTGCGAGGCGACTGCATCGGCTCCAGCCGGCCGGCAGCCGGCCGGCCGCGAGCCGCCGCTGGCTGCTGACTCGGCCTCTCACTCTGGCAGGCTGAGTCCCGTTCCTGCGCCAGTGCTCGCCACGAGCCTGCAGCACCTCGCCACAGATGGCAGCAGCGTCGCTGGTTGTCGAGCCCGCCCCCGCTCGCTCTGTTTGGGGAGACCAGGTGAGCAGCCGGACGGGCGGACCGCCGCAGCGCGATGGAGCCGCCGCCAGCAGACCCCATCACTGACGGGTCCGTCCAACGAACAAGAATGCCTCTCTGGAACGTAAACATTTCTGTTTATAACCCCATTAACTGTTCGGTAACGTAAACGCGCCATACACTGATTGTGACCTTCCATTCTGGTCATCTAGCCGACAGCTGTTGGTCTGCTTCCACGTCGCTGGCGGCAGAGGACGGCCGGGTGTATGTGACGTCACGAGTGTGACGTGTGACGCCATGGGCATGACTTGTGACGTCACGGGTGTGATGTGTGCCGACAGGGTGCCGTCCGGTGGCCGGTGGCCGACGGCTCGGCCGGCTCGGCCGGTTCGGCCGGCGCCGCCGACGAGCTGGGCTCGGCGCCGGCGTCCCTCATCAGCGACCTGGACGCCCACTACCGGGTGCTGCTGGACGAGATGGACAAGTACGAGTGCCTGCTGTCGGCGCGGCAGGCGCGGCCGGCCACGCCCGACCAGCCGGGCTCGCTGTCGCTGCTGCAGGAGCTGCAGCTGTCGGCGAGCGCCGAGCGCCGGCGCGCCTCGCTGGACGCCGGGCCGGCCCCGCCGCTGCGCGACTCCGGCCCCGACTCGCTGATGCTGCTGGCGGTCGCCTCGGACGGCGAGGCCTCGTCGTCGGGCTTCTCGGAGGGTAGCAGCGCCGAGAGCCGGACCGTTTCGCGCGCCACGCAGACCCCGGAGCTGCCGACGGCCGAGCTAGCCGCGCCGCCGCCGCCGCCAGCGCCGCGTAAGGTCACTGCCCTGTTCCAGCACACGCCCCAGTACAAACAGCTGTTCCAGGAGATCTTCCAGGTGCTAAAGAAGCCTGTGGTGGTGGCGCCGACCGAAGCGGTGCCGCGCGAGGTCTGCGTCGCGGCGGCGCCGCTGGAAGCGCCGCCGCCGCCGCCGCCGCCGCCTGCGTCGCTCGACGCTGCGCCTCCCGCGGAACCACACGCAGGCCCTGCGGAACCCCACGGGAGCGGCGCCCTGCCGGCCGGGGCGATGCTCGGCGGCCCACGGACTTTCTCCTACACGGAGGAGTTCGAGCGGTTGAAGGCGCGCGAGGCCGCGTGTGCAGATGGCGTTGCGGAGGCGCCGCCAGGTGGCGCGCCGGAGGAGTTCCCACACCTATCACGGCCGTCGGAGGAAGTGGCCAAGCTGCGACTGCTAGAGCGCTCCTACGCTGAGGCGCTCAAGGCTGGCAGGCGGTGTCGGAGTCGGCACACACTGCTCTGAGGGCGGCCTCCTGGCCAGCCGACCGCGCAGACAGCCGAACTGTGTATCTATCCGCCGGGACATATGCTGAAATAATGATGTGTAACCAGCGACGGTCAATGGTTCAAGGGTGCTTCGTCTGTCATCTGTCAAAACCGATGAAAGCCGCTGGGCACGAGAGGTCTTCACACCATTCCACATTCAGATAGCCGACACAGCTGCGTACAGCATGGTGCCTGCCCGGCAGACCGAGGGACAGCTGGGCGGAACCGTCTCTCCCCCGCGGCAGCTGGGCGGGACCGTCTCTCTCCCGCGGCAGCTGGGCGGGACCGTCTCTCTCCCGCGGCAGCTGGGTGGGACCGTCTCTCTCCCGCGGCAGCTGGGCGGGACCGTCTCTCTCCCGCGGCAGCTGGGCGGGGGCGGCCGCAGCGGCACAGCCCATGATGCTGCGCTCTGTCGGCCAGCGCGATGTGGCGACGTAGCCAACGAAAGCCGGGCTCCGCCCGGTGTATTTATTTGGATGACTTCTGCACAAGCTATGTTTTGTTGGGCGACAGTACAAGCACCACGTGGTATGCCCTGTGCCGAGTTTCCCACGGCCCGTGTCAAAACACCGTGTGATGCGCGGGTGGGTCGTGACATGCGCCAAAGCGAGACAAGGATCCGTCAGACACGTGTTTCATATAATTATATTGTGATTGAGGCTCTCCAAGCCGCCGCCTTGGTAAGCTCACCCGTCTATTTTGGCCGGCTCCGGACTATGATGGCGCATTGCGGCGCTGTGGGAGAGTTATGATGAGCTTTTGTATGCCAATGACGAATTTTGTATATGCCAATTTGCATTGACTCTTGCATCAGACCTGTGGCCTTGTGCAACATGTGACACAGTTCTCAGTGGCCATCCACTTCCATTTGAGATACAGGACAGCTGTATTATTTTTTGCGTTCGAATACGTCGGTACGTTTTAATTTTGAATATTTGTTTTGGGGCAAAATGAAACAATTAAAATCTGTCGTTCGGACGAGACATCATCTTGGAAGTGCCTGCATGTTGCCGGTATGGTATCGGCAACCGCGTTCGTACGCTGCTCTATTAACATTAGCATCTAATTTTGGTCTGAAAGCCTGCTGCCCTAAGCAGTTTGGCGTACGCCAAGAACTCGTGTAACATGTTAAAACCAATTAAACGAAGTACTATGCAATTAAGCAGATAGCCCGTCCTGATGACGCCTGCAGACTTCATAAATTGACTGCCAATTTTAGAGTTAAATTTCAACCCATACTGGACTGTTCGTGAGTTGAAAACAGAACTTGGTTTTTCAAGTATAAGACTTTGCTAACAAGCTTCCCTTTTGGCGACGCGAAGGCTAACACCTGCCTCGTCGATTGGCCGAATGTGCTGCCCGCGCCCGTTTTGTGAGCGCACACGACCAGCCTTTCGACGCCTCTTCTTCTTTCGGGACGATCGCGTCGGAACGATTAATGCCCTGTCGGCGAGCGCGGCCGCACCCCGCGCCGGCCGACGGCCCCGGCGCTGCTGCTTCTGCGCAGGCCAGCCGCCGGCGTACGCCGTCCGCCGCCGTCCGTCGCCTCGGACGGCGGCCATGGGACGACTTCCCGTGCCAAATGCCCGCTGGAGCCCGGCCACTGGTCCCGGATGCCTGCTCTCCGCCTGACGTGTAAACGCAGTGTGAATAATACATTATGTAGTCGTGAAATCGCGTTTGATGGTTTCTGGCGAAGTTGTAGAGCAGCGAAGCTGTGTCAGCTGCGCTCGCGGCGCAGCGCAGCGCAGCGTGCGAGGAGCGGACTGAGTGTAATTCCATGCTTTGCTCATCACCGGATCTAGAGTCAGCGCGGCGCGCGGGGAGCCGACCGCCCCTCCCACCGCCTCGGCCTCGGCGGCCCCGCCGCCTCCAGTGGCGCGCGGGGTCCCGCCGCCTCTCCCCACCGCCCCGGCCCCGGCGGTCCCGCCGCCTCCGGTGGCGCGCGGGGTCCCGCCGCCCCTCCCACCGCCTCGGCCTCGCCGCTCCCGCCGTCTCCGGTGGTGCGCGGGGTCCCGCCGCCCCTCCCCACCGCCCCGGCCTCGCCGCTCCCGCCGCCTCCGGTGGTGCACGGGGTCCCGCCGCCCCTCCCACCGCCCCGGCCCCGGCGGTCCCGCCGCCTCCGGTGGCGCGCGGGGTCCCGCCGCCCCTCCCACCGCCCCGGCCCCGGCGGTCCCGCCGTCTCCGGTGGCGCGCGTGGGATGGCACGGCCCAGCCTCGCCCCTTCCACACCGGACGGGCCAGAGCCTGCGTCCAAACATATGGCGGTGGCCACGTGTGTAAGTAACTCACGGCTCGTTTATCGCTTTGCGTCAAACGAGGTCAAGCCACCTTCCGTGCCTCTGCGTAATGTTACGCCAGTAAAACTGATGTACGCCATGACATGAAACATAGCCGGTGCGTTACAGTGTGCCACCATTCGTTTCCGAGAAGAGCATGAGGTAGCCTAAGGTCATTTCATAGCATTCTATGACCTTGGTCGCCGACGGCTTAGAACAACTTTTGGTCAAGTTTGGTCAACTTTGGTCACGTCAGGGGCGTGACTGGGTTCCCCCTACAGCACAATGTGCTCACAAATTGTGGACGGTCTTCACCACTTCGGGCGGTTCGGGCGGTTTCCAAGACCCAGCCGACGTGATCGAGTCTCTAAATGGCCTCTGCTCTATTCCTGACATGCATCGTTAACTTGGGCTCGTGATATAACGTGTCTGAGTGCAATCCAACTTCCTAGCGGAGATTTGACCAGCCATTACCTTCGCCATGAATGACGTTAAGTGAGGCCACGAGCATTGATGAAGTGCACGATGCATAACGCCTGCACAGCTTCGTGACCGCTGGAAAAGGAGTCCGGGGCACGTGGACCTACGGCCGCGACGCGGCACACAGGAGTCCACCACTTCGCCATGCAGCGTCTTGACAACGGGGTCATAGGTCAGTGACCGGACTCGGGAGGAACTTGAAATCTAGATATATAAATATATATAAATATATATACATATATATATATATATATATATATGTATATATATTTGCAGGTTAGAAAAGAAGGGAGTGTAAACTCAACTAGCCAAAATTGTGTGCTTACAATGGTTCAGGAGACGCCTATGTAAAGCTGTGGAGTGGTTGCAGCTCTCCTGGTAGCGACGATCTTCTGTGTGAGGCTATAAGCCCAGTTTTGCGTCGGAGACATTGAATTTTTAGCCCGAATCTCGGCGCAAGGTTGCATGGTTTACCGAACATATTAAAACAATCCTGGCAAATGCACAATTGTGTGGTCCAGGGCAGGAGATTCGCACGTGGATTAGTAAAGCACCAAGGATGCAGTACAGAAATTGTGAGTAGCTGACACATTGTGTAGCTGCAAAGGTTGTATAAGTTGCGATGACAGGCTGCAAAGTACTGTGCAAAGACCGGCTGTCAAGCAAAGTAGGTTGCCGTGCATTTTTTTGTGACAACTCGATGAACATTTTTGAGTTGTGCTCTTCCCCATTATGAAATCCTGCATGCTCCATGCTCAGAGACATGCTTGTAAGAACCAGCACGAGTGATTCGCTAGCCGGGCAGGTCTTGCTAAAGAGGAATGCATCGTGATTTGGCTGAAAAGCTACGGATATTATGTCCTCTAAAAAACGACCACTGCATGAGACGCATACAAGTAAACCGTACATTTGGAGCCGTCGCAAAGATCGGTACAGCAAGCCAGTGCTGGCTTACACTTACACTACTCTAAGCAAGGCGGGGGCCGCCCTCCTTAGACACCTGACGCCGCCCCTGCGACGGCTGACCTTCCGCGGGCTAAACGGCCCGGCGGGCGGCCCGCGTGTCTCGCTGGTAGTGAGGAAAATACGCGCTGATGGTAACAGCTACCAGTGCGGTGTGCAAGGAAACGAAAGTTTAGGGTGGGGAAGTTTACGGTGGGGAAGGGCGGTGGTTTACGGTGGGTTACTGCAAGGGAAGTTTACGACAATTGTTTAGGTGCATGCGCGAGTTCAAAAAGATCTAAACTGAAGTAAACTGTACGTGTTCGATAATAATGGGTTAAATAGTTACGATGTAATGACTGGTGCTTTGAACAGATCGTTATGCGCTACGCCATAAAAAAGATTCCTCAGCGGCGCACCACACGGTGGCCGAAGGGAGGAAGCACGGTCGGTGGAGGAAAGGGGAAGGGACGCACAGGAAGCTGTCCCTTTCTTTTCCCCTTCCGCCAGCCTAAAGGCATACCAGATCCAGCAACTCTTAACGCCATGCCGTTGCATGGAGAGAACCGAGGGGGAATCGCGTCCGCCTCCAGGGCTGCTCAGAGGATTTGTCGTCACCGGAGGTTACTTGGCTCCAAACGGGCAAATCCCGGAAGAGGAAGACAGATCTCACCCGCAATTCGATGCCACTTAGGTGATGTCACGTTTGATATGGACTTATGCATTACATGCTGACCTGCCAGCTTGATTCACCGCCTTTTTGCGCAGCCTGCTATCTTGCTTAAGGTCGCAGCGGCTCGTGACATTGAGCCGATCATGATGTAACTTGGCGGAACCGCTACCAATGTAGTCATTAATTAGAAATCTTTCACGTGGTGGTTATTACGAATTCCGTATAAGTCCTAACACAACGTTGCAACATACAAGACAAAGCCTCACGAAGTGAAACAGAAAAACAAAGGCAAACGCAGGTACTACCCAGTTCGCTCTCCATGAACACACACAGCACAACCAAACCACCCGAAAAGCAGCGCAGCAACAGCACGCGCTGCAGTCCTCCGCTGTCGGCTCCGTGGGTAAGGCGTTCCAGGAAAATGCTGCTCTGAAAATGCTGAAAATGCGGCGGCACATGTGCGCGACCAACAAACATGTCCGATGTTGCTGGAGGACACTACAAAAAAGGACTTTCTGTACCTGCACAAGGTCGTGGCAGTGCACCATCTCCTCCATCCTCGCTTAGCCAAGCGTTTGTGATGCTGGCGAAATGCTTTCCCAGCCACGCACCCCAGTCACAAAACTGGCGTTTCCAGTTTTTTGACTGTGTCCAGTGTTTTTTGGACGCGCGGAAGCTGACACTTGGTGACTACTCCCCAGACGGAGAGGCAGCAATGGAGGCGCTGGAAAGCACGGGTCTGGGGTAAGAGCTTGATAACGTCGGGTGTAAAATGATGACGGACCTTGTGGAGGGATGATAGCCTAGAGAGGCATGGAGGGATCAGCATGGACATCTGCGAATCTCACGTCAGATGCTGGTCGAGGAATACGCCAACAATTTTAACGGCCTTACTGGGATGTGTGTGCACGCCTGATAATGCCGTGTGAACTGAATTTGCCTTTTTAAGAGAATGCTTGGTTCCAGTAGGAGCTACGCACGCTTTGCTTGGATTCATCTTGAGACTGGTACCCGGTACCATAATCGGAGAACAAAGATAGACTCAGATAGACCTGTGACCGTCGGCAGGAAGTGATCAGGAAGCCGGGTGTCGTCAGCGTCGGACGAGAGTCGGCCGAGGATGAGGAAACAGGGTAGAGCGTTGGTAAAGAGAAGGACGAGGCATTGGTCGGAACACAGATCACTGGGCTACTCCGTGGGTCAGTGGGAGGGGATCAGAGGAGCCGCCGGTCACCGTCTGTTTAGGGTCGCTGAGACAGCCCCGGAACCATTCCGACCGCACACCTCACCACTCACTCAGGCCACCACAGATGCGCTTCCGCTTGGCACGGGCGAGGAGGCTCCTCAGCCTGTTGTGGCTGAGCTAGCAGTCCTGCCCCGCCTCAGGCGCCCCGCTCCGCTCCCAGGCTCGTCTGGCCCCGCCTCAGGTGACCCGCTCCGCTCCCAGGCTCGTCTGGCCCCGCCTCAGGCGCCCCGTTCCGCTCCCAGGCTCGTCTGGCCCCGCCTCAGGTGACCCGCTCCGCTCCCAGGCTCGTCTGGCCCCGCCTCAGGCGCCCCGTTCCGCTCCCAGGCTCGTCTGGCCCCGCCTCAGGTGACCCGCTCCGCTCCCAGGCTCGTCTGGCCCCGCCTCAGGCGCCCCGTTCCGCTCCCAGGCTCGTCTGGCCCCGCCTCAGGTGACCCGTTCCGCTCCCAGGCTCGTCTGGCCCCGCCTCAGGTGACCCGTTCCGCTCCCAGGCTCGTCTGGCCCCGCCTCAGGTGACCCGTTCCGCTCCCAGGCTCGTCTGGCCCCGCCTCAGGTGCTCCGCTCCGCTCCCAGGCTCGTCTGGCCCCGCCTCAGGTGCTCCGCTCCGCTCCCAGGCTCGTCTGGCCCCGCCTCAGGTGCTCCGCTCCGCTCCCAGGCTCGCCTAGCCCCGCCTCAGGTGCTCCGCTCCGCTCCCAGGCTCGCCTAGCCCCGCCTCAGGTGCTCCGCTCCGCTCCCAGGCTCGTCTGGCCCCTGCCTCAGGTGCTCCGTTCCGCTCCCAGGCTCGTCTGGCCCCCGCCTCAGGTGCTCCGCTCCGCTCCCGGGCTCGTCTGGCCCCGCCTCAGGTGTCCCGCTCCGCTCCCGGGGTCGCCTGGCCAAGTCACGCTCCTCCATAGCTGTGTCCATGTCGGAGTCACCCCTCATCCGCAGGCAGCCCTGGCGGCGCCGCGATGTTGTGACGGCCGGACAGAGCCCGTCAACCGTCACAGTCCAGACGTCCATGAACGCCGCCACCTGCCCGTCCACAGCTGCTGTGCAGTGGAGCGGCTCCCG